GCACTGGGGCTGACAATGAGGAGCAGACGCCTCTGGGGAGTCCCTGGAGGGGACCCCGTCAGCCGGCCAGGAGGGCAAGGCCGCAGAGGCCCCTGCCTGGGCCAGGAGAGAATTCTGCTGGAGCATCGCTGGGGGAAGCCTCATGCCAGCAGCAGGACTGGCGGGAGCTGGTGCTCATGCCTGGCTGGCCGGGCTCTCCTGGCTTCCAGGGAGGATCCTGGGAGAAGGACCATTGCACCTGCTTTACTTTTGCTCTCCCTCACAGAGCAGGTCCAAGAGAGGGCAAACCTTCTGCAACCAGGTCACCCAGGGCAAGGGCGGAACGAGTGCTCACCACCTTCCAGTTGGAAATTCCTTCCCTCCCTTCCCATCCCGGCTGGGTCTACAGGTAGCTGCGGGTCTCAGGCGGGTTTGCCAGGGACTCAGAAGGGTAGAAGCTCAGGGGTTCGCTGGGGAAGGGATGTGCGTTTGATGATGGGAGAACAGTAAGCAAGGAGCCCTGGCTCAAGTGCTGAGGGCTGGAAGGGCCCTTGCCAGAGCTGTGTGCTCAGGTCCCTGTGACACATGGGGGTCACCAAAGCCTGGCAGGGGACGCTACTCATTGCAGAATCAGCTATGTCACCGCCCAAGCCTCTTAATTCTAGGTCTAGAGCCTCTTCATTCACGCCCCTCCCAGGTGCCAGGAAGGAATATCCACAGGAGCACTCCGTAACTGTGGGCACCTGACAGGCAGGCAGACTCAGGAGCCACACTGCCACCCACTGTCCCTTGTGCCATCAGTAAAATGGGGTATCTACCTGCCTCCTGTGAAGATTAAACAAGGGAAAGGCTGAAGTGTGAGAGCTCTGAGCAGAGGCCCACGTGGCCCAGGTCCTAACACTGCCTTTAACATCAGCTTGCTTCATGACTAAGAGAACTGATGTCTGGGGGGACCAATGATTCCTTTCCTGGGAATTCACTACTGAGCTGAGAAAACATCAGTCAGATACTTAAAGTGACTCCCTCTCAGCATCTGGAAGCGGGGGAGAGACAAAGGGGGTGCAGAGGACTCCAGCGCCGGGTTCCCTGGCTTTTCCAGGTCCCACACACAGTTATAATTAATTCCTCTGCGCAGCACATGGTGTTCTGATCTCGCAGAGATAGCTTGTGTTGTGACTTGCTCATGGTTTGTTTTCTGAGTGGGTGTGTTTATGTCTCTCCTGGAGAAAACGGGGGACAAAAATCCCCTACCGGAGTGCGCTCCTGCATACAGACACACGCTCCTGGTGCACACATGCACCCCTGCATACAAACAGGCTCCTGCGTGCACACACACGCACCGGGGATCCCACGCTTTGCCCCACCAGAGCGAGGGCCTGGGACCTGGGGGGTGGGGTCCTGGCACAGCCCCGGGTAGGCAGCCTCACCCGGAGGCACCCGGCCTGCCAGGCCCCAGCGGCGCGGTGCATCCCAGCCCCGCCAGGCTCACCCGGGTCTCAGAGGGGATCCGGATCCACGTCACGTTCATGTAGTTGTGCAGAAGGTTCAGCTTGGCTTCCAGCGACAGGATCAGGCTGGTGAGAGAAGACCCCGAGTGAAACGCACGTCCCCGCAGGCGCTCAGCTTCCCGGGAGGAGCGGGGCGGCCCAGCACCGCCCCGAGTCGGGGGAGGACGGGCTTACTGGGCCAGTCGCGCGTGGTCCCGGTCGTCCTTGCCCCACTCCCAGTCCTTCCCGGGGTCCACAGCGAAGTGCAGCGGCAGCAGCCTGTGCTCCGGGTCTGTCAGGGGGATCACAGCTGGAACAGAGACAGGGCCCAGGGCTGTGGCACCGGGCGGCGGGCGGCAGCCCCCAGCCGGGGCAGGAGAGGGAATGCCAAGCCCTGACGACTCTGTGGCCAAGTAAAGCCAGCGTGGACCGAGACAACGCCGGTGCCAGCCGGGCAGCAGGACCCCAGGCTTTCCCAGGGACCCGCGCGCAGCTATAACTAATTCCCCGTGTACATGGTGTTCTGATCTCGCAGAGATAGCTTGTGCTGTGCCTTGCCCGTGGTCTGTTTTCTGAGTGGCCATGTTTATTCCTCTCCTGGGGAAAATAGGGGACAAAACGATCCCCTCGCAGGAGTTGCCGGCGTACAGACCCCCCCCCCCCC